GTTGTAATATATAGGTTTCTTGCTTGTCCAGCCATCAGAGTTAACTCTGTGCTAATAGCAGGTTCAGAAAAAATACAGGGAGGGGAAATGTGTTGTAATTTGTTTAATGTATTAAGGTATCAGTGTGTGCAATATTTCTGTTGGTGTTACTGTCATGTACCAAATGTTATGGCAAGAAGCACGTAAGGCCTTGTGGCTGAAATGTAGGAAAAGAGGAAATTATTCCACTGATGAGTAGCTAAATCAGAGACTGAAGAGTTTCTTGTTTGCGTATTTGTTTGCCACCTTTCAGAGGTTTGAAAGTATCGAAACTTTGGGGAATTCCCAAGTGAGGAATAAAATCAGTGAATAATAATTTTTTTAAAAACATCAGTAGTGGCCTCCAAGTTGGTTGCTTGGGTTTTTTTAAGTAAGTAATAAAGCTCACTATGTAATGCGTAGTTGAATGAAAAGGAGGGAATCCTGTGAAGTCAGTGGATACTTTTATTAGGTTTTTTAGTTGGTAATATGTTTTATTAGAACACTTGTCACTGGTGTTTTGGGTGCAGGAGACCGTGGGGGAATTTTTAATTCTCATGTGCGATCATGTCAGGTTTTCCATTCTAACACACATCCCTGAGACAACCTGAGAGCTGTAAAATTTCTCTTTGAACACAAAGTTCATCCAGTGATGTTTGGTTCTTTCATTGTAGCCTCCTTCTGAAGAAATAAAAACAGGCGAAGATGAAGATGAGGAAGATAATGATGCTTTATTAAAGGAAAACAATGAAAGTAAGATTTGCATGTTCTCAGTCTTTTCAGTTTTTCTCTTGATGTGTATTGAAGAAGCTGTGTTTAAACATGGTTTCTACTGGGGGCCATCAGTCCTGTGTACCCCAGCATTTCTGACTTGAACCAGCGTTCATACCAAAAAGTGCAGCCTTTTCAGCACGCAGGGCAGTGGTAGCAGCCTCCCAGGCTCATGGAGTGCTGCAGTGCTGAAAGCATCCAGCTTGGTGGATTAGCAGTTTGATTGGGAGCCTCTTTCACCTTTTCTGCTACGTGGTGTGTGTTTACAGTGTCAGTCGGTGTTTACAGCTGAAATGCCAGTATCACTGTGTACAAACCTACCTGAGCATTCCTTGCCCCTCTTTCCTGTTCTCTCTGCCCTCTAATTGCCAGGCTAAGTGCTTCCCTATAGTCCCTGCTGGGGTGGATAGTTATGGGACTTTCAAAAATGGATATATTCCAACTCTGAGATCTTTACTTCCTCTTCAGTTAAAATATCTTAAAGGCAAAAGCTTCTCTGTGAGAAGAGCAATCTTCCTGACAGATATTATCCCTTGCTCATTCCCCTTCACAAACTGTTCCTTCCATTAGTCTCTTGCCTGTGACCCTGGTATGTCTTTCTCCCAGGTGTCCTTCTCCATCTCCTTTGCCTGTAAATCTGCCCTCTTCCATCCTCATTCACACCTTCATCTCACACCACCTTCTCCCTTGTGTGTTGTCACTCTGTGTGCCAGCTCCTGGATCCAGCGTGGGCCGGTGGGATATGCAGGGCATGGAAGCCAAACACTGGGTACCTCTGGTGGTTTTGTTGAAGGCTTTTTTCTGTTAGCGGAAAACAATTGGGCCTCTGTGAATCTCTGTTCTGCTGCCCTTTTCCATCCAGCACTTGACCTTTTCCACCGTCTCCTTGCCAATAGTAGAGAAGTTCTCTTTAGCCTAATGCTGATTAACACAGCCTTGGTGGTGCCACTGTGTGAAAAGAAAGATGTAAATCTTTCTTTAAATATTGTCTTAAAGCAAAGATGGCAGAGCTGTGGTGTGCTGTACACCACTGGGTTTAGACTTAAGAGAAGTGATCTGAGGGCTTTTGTTGTTCTGTTGTCCGGGATCTTCCATCCTTTCCCCTTGATGTAGTGACCTGAGTTCAGATAAATGAGTGTGACTGATAATTACTGGACAAAATTGAAACTTCTGCTCCATGCCAGCTGGCTCTTCTGGTGGCACAAGGGTGAGATATTTAATAAAAATTAAGAATATGATTAATTTTTATATGTAAGTAATTCAGTCTTTGGGTGGATTTTTTTCTAAATTGTGAAATAAACACAGGTGGTAAGCCATAGATTGCAGACCATGATAAGCTATGCATGTGCAAACCCACCTGTGTAATCACTGCAGCACTTGACTTCTCAGCAGAGCACAGTATTCCATGGTTTTTATCTCAATGCCAGAATGACAGAAAATTCCTTAAAGTACTGGCTACACATTAAAGTTAGTGTTACAGTCCTGCTGCCAATAGGAACATGAGAAAAAAGGGAAGGAAAAGGGGTTTTTACCTTGGTTAAGTTTGACTAAAGTGACTAAAAAGTTCCAAAAGGCAAATGTTAAAGATCGCTCTGTAATTTAATGTTATAGTTGACTTGTGTTCAGTACTGTAGTCTACCTATAAAAATTCTTCTTCTTATTTGGAGGAAGTAGTTCTGATGTAGCAATTCTCTCTCAATATAACAGGAGATAACATAAAAAGCAAGACTGTGTTTATCACAGGCAATAAGGGACATTCCTCTTGAATCCCAGGTAATAAGACATCTGTAAAAACCTGCTCTCAGAGCTCGAAAGTGTTTTAGCAACCACAGGAAAGGCCTGAATCAGTCTGTCAGTAAATAAACAGAAGATTTATAGTGGGGCAGATCAGGGTAGAATTATTTGCAGTGCCAGGAAATGCTCCCTATGTCTCACTGATTCCTTCCCTTTTTCCCCCAGGTCCAGAGGTACAACGGGACAAAGCCATGACGGGCGAACAGATCGAGTTATTTGCCAACAGGCTTGGGGAGCAGTGGAAGGCCTTGGCCCCCTACTTGGAAATGAAGGATTCTGATATCCGGCAGATCGAGTTGGACAGCGAGGATGTGAAGATGAGAGCTAAGCAGCTGCTGGTGGCCTGGCAGGATCAGGAGGGTGCACACGCAACTCCTGACAACCTGATCACGGCGCTGACCAAAGCTGGGCTAAGTGACCTTGCTGAAAGCCTGACCAACGACACCGAAGGCAGCAGCTAACTCGCTTCAGCTGCCAGCTTGCTCTTTGACCTGGGGGGCTGGGGGTGCCGTTAATTGTGACTGTTCTGGTGGTTGTCATTGATAATTGTTACTATTGTTGCTAGGTAACAGATTTTTTGATAGGTATTTTTTGTTCAGGAAATGATAAAGCTTTTTAATAACACTGTAAGATTGTCCGGTTTTTCTGAGAAAGCGATTAGTCATCCCAGCCCAGAAATGGGAAGCTTCATCTTGGATGGAGGAAACATAAAAGGGAGGATGGAGAGGCAGCTTTCAGTGCAGGCTGCAGGAGGATTTGGCACCAGCAGAGGTCAGGTCGCTCCCATTGGACAGAGCAGCCTCTCCAACTACCACTGCCTTTGCGTGGTTTCTCAAAGCAGGGTTGGGACTGTGTGTCAGGCACTTCTGATTCACCCTTTGGGTGATGGGGTGATTTACCTGTTATAGGTAAAATAATAGGGTGGTGATGGAACTCCAACTCATAGCATTGACTTCCAGTGAAGTGCTTGCCCGCTGAAGAGCTGGTCTGAATTAAGGTCTGAACCTTAATTACATGACTGGGGGGTTCCATGCTTATTTTTATTGGTGATTATTTTTAGCCTCTCCATGTGTTTGGCTATGTAGAAACTCCCCTGAGTCACGGTGAACATGGTAACTTTTTTGGTCCCAGGTTACTGTGAAGTGAGAGTTTCATTTTGAGGACATGGCTGTCTATAGATGGGAACAAGCTGTTTTCCCTCAACGAGCAGGAGATTTTTGTGGCGCCAAGTGGCAGCTGGCTACAACTTGTTCTGTGGCTATTTCTTGTAGTGGTTCTGCCATTCACCAACATCTCTCTGATTGATGAGTGTTTGGCAAACGACATAGACTCTCTGTATTGTTTCAGCTGTTAAATCACAGCTGTGAATTTCCAGGGTGGTGAGATGCCACCTCAGAAGCGAGCTCCTGTCTGCAGAGCCGTTGGTGACAGCTTTGTGCCTGCTGCCCCACTTCGGATTTAAATGTGTTAGGAATGTGAGTGCTGCGTCCTGGGTTAGTAGAGGCCAAGATACAGGAGTTATTGGAAATAACGGCCCAAGTCTTGCCTCCTGCCGCAGGTACAGATTGGTAGCGGATACAACATGTAACAGTTTCACTTGGTGAAGGGACTTGAGCATATTGTGAGTGGAGGTGTGCAGGGATGACTGACAGCTCGTCAGTGGGGCCTGCCTGCCACCTCCATGGCGGGAAAGCTGAGGATGACAATGGGAGGATGCAGTTCCACAGAGCAGCAACCACACACAGGCCCCCTCCCTCCTTCCTGTTTAACAGGAGACAGAACAAGCATTTCACGCAGGGGAAGGCTGTAGCATTTCTGTGGTGCACACAAGGACAGAACCACTGGGGCTTCCTTACTGGGCAGAGCTTGCCTTTAAGTACCATGCAACTGATCTAAAATATACCCCGAGGCCTTTGGTGTGCTCCCAGGGGACGCTGTGCAGGGAAGGTGGCAGTGCAGCAACCCACAATTTTAAGGCAGAGAAAGCACCTGTGAAGGCCACAGCTGACACCAGTGTCCCCAGGGAAGGGTAAAAGAGGGGCTCCCTCCCAGCAAGTGGGGCGCAGGCAAACTCACCCCTCTACCAACAGAAGTGAAGGTATTTCATAGGAAGAGACTGGGACACATCAGCACTGGGAACCTCCACACCAAGGGGGAGTGTGGTGATGGCCTTTTTGTGATAGTGTTGGCTGTTTCTTTTACTGCAGTCACACTGACTCACAGCTAGTTACTGAAGAAGTTCCTGTAAGTAAGCAAAGCCCATTTTTGCAGCCACCACTGGACTTACTTATCTACTGAGAAACAGGACAGGAGAAACGTCCCTACAGCTTAAAAAAAAGTGGCTTTATTCCTTGACTGCTTTGAGACATTCATCAGTGGTGGCCCAAGAAGTGAAAACAAACACATACTGTCTACACTACCAGGACAGGAACTGTTTTTAATGGAGACACATTGCTGATCACAATTTATTTTGAAATCATGAGATGCCAGCAACAGAACAGACTGAATCAGCAGGTCAGGCTGGACAAATACTTGATTGTAGCCACAGCTGTTGGCTACGGGCAGCAGCACTGAGTTACACAACAAGGCAACGGTTCCTCTTCTGCCTTCCTAACAAAACTGCCAGGTAAGGCAAAGGATGGACAGCTACTGAATTGTGGTATAAACCATGCAAGAGTAACAAATGTGAGAGTAGGTGTGTAATAAATACTTGATGACATTAGAGAAGAAGGAGGAGAGGCTCATTTTAAAAAAAAATTATCTTCTGCAAGACATTAAAGCTATTTTAAGTATTGTCACCACCACAATTGGCAGTCCAGTCCAGTAGTGACTAATTGGTACATGGATCAGTTTTAAAACAATATCCCTCTTCACATGAAAAGGTTTGAACAAATTATGTATCCACTTGCTAAAGCTCTGGGGTTAAAGAAGTGATCAGTAATCAACATTTATTTCACACCTAGGCAGAATGACTAAAACGGAAGACTACTGTTCAGCTTCATCTTCAACCACTTCAATTCTGCGAGGCCCATAGAGTAGAACATAAGCTATATGCCAGTCTCCACCCCCAGATAACCTCAAAATATCTTCAGGTGTAACAATGCTGACTTTGTCATCATCGAATTTAATCCATTCATCTGCAAGAAAAACGAGAGGATTATCAATTCATAAAATCTAAGCTTGCTTAACAGCCCCTTCAGTGAAAGGAGCTGCGAAGGGTGGTTAACACTGCTGCAATTTGTTAATTTTTTTTTTTTACCTTGTTTCCTTTTAACCCAAGACACATAATGCCCAGAGGAACTTGATCTGCCTTGATGTGTTAGCACTGCCTGCAGGTCATAATAGCCGCAATTGTTAGAACCAATATCTGAGGAAAGAGGGGGAGGAAAAAGAGTTACATCAAGTCCTACTTGAACAGGTGTGGTATTTTTAGCAGCTTGCAGACCCAAGACAGGTTAACCGTGCTGCAGCACTGTAGCTGTGTAAAACCCCACTGCACAGCACAGTACAAAACCCCCCTGAACTAAAAGCAGCAGCTCTCAGCCAGGAGAGTCTCTCAGGAAACCCAGGATTTTGTGTGTTTTCATGAAATAAACACAGATCCATAAACATTACTGATATAAATGCAAAGGGTGAGAATATGTCGGCCCTTCGATCTCCAGGCCCCTGAAGACTGAGGCAGCACCAGCACAACCACAACGCTTCTACAAGTCCAGTTTAAGTTTTGTTTTGATTTCAGCTTTCTACCACCCACTGACAAGGCAGAGAGCAAAACAACTGCACATTACATGCAAATGTCTTTTGATGTGCATATCTTCTATTATCACCAGCCTGTCAGGTGGATGGCAATTATGCCTTTGACTATCACTTCAACGTTCTGGCTCACCTAATCTTTCCATTCCTTAAATTTCTGTCAGTTTCTGAAGAATAATTTTCAGAGGCATTAAAAGGAGCCAGGGTTCTCAAAATACTCCTACCAGCAGGCACACTTAAACACAAGTAAATAGGAAGTTACTTTAAAGTAGATTTGCTTCCCTGTACTCACCATCAGGAAAAGAAAATGGTTCATATTTAATTTCTTTCTGTGCACCATCACTTTTACTAGACTGAAAAACAGAATATGCTGAATTAGTGTGGAATGGTTTAACAAAAGTTTTAGCACAATTGTATCAAATTCCAAATCTCCACTGACTTAAACATGTTTCTAAGTCTAAACATTTTTTATTCAACTTGAATCAAGTGCCATTGACTGTATTTTTTAGGTGGACATACAAAAGCCTTATCTAAGCAAGACCAGTTTTAAAGCAAATATATAACCATCTTAGCATGGATTGTGCCTACACTGTTCAGCCACCAGATTTATGGGTTTGTTTATGAAACAATTCTGTAGTTGAAGATTGATTCCTTTTTAGGGGCCTGCTGGCAGCGGAAGTGCCAATACAAAAATACCAGAGACAGACTCTAAGTGCCAATATGTTTTGTTTGAAAAAAAGCACTCTTTCCTTGCTCCCATCTGTGCAACAGGAGATGCAAGCCTTATCCGAATGTTTAAATGAATTTGCCAGGAGTTAAGCCAGGAAAAGACAAGCAAACTTTAATAAAATTGGCTAAAGCACTACAGCTTTAGCTCATTCGCTTTTTTCTTCATTCAAGACAGAGAAGTCACTTTTAGAACTGACCCGCAGACAGGACAGGACATGAAACCATTTACCAAGTTTTTAGAGTACTGATTTTAAGCTGAGTGGTATGTATATTCTAAATTTTATTAGTCAAATATGTAGCAGTTCCTTGTACAATCCTTTCCAGCTGGTAAGCAGGGAACAGCTTCCTACACTGCACTCAAGAAGAGACCAGCCAGCAAGCAGTAATATTTGCAGAGAATAATTTTTTGTAATTCACAGAAAACCTTTAGGCATAACCCTGGCAAGCAGAAGCACTACATTTTTAATACATTAAATACATGCTGTCTGTCTACAGCATTTAACATTTCTCATCAAGCAGTTATACCAAAGCAGATCTTGTCTTTTCATGAAGATGCACGATAAAGAGATCTGAAGCTCAATACAAAGATAATCCATAAGAAAATAATATCTTTAAGGATGCCAAGTTTTCTCTAGTCCTTATTAGTACCCCAATTTCAGACATATGACCTAATTACAATGTCAGGAGACTTACATTCTTTGGCTGTTGATTTACTTTTTTGTCTTCTAGATCTTTGAATTTTGATCGATAAGAAACCATTTTTTCCTGAAGGTCTGGCGTGCACAGCTCATACACATCCAACATAAGAGGAAATTTAACATCCTAGGAAGTAAAGAGCATAAAGACTTATTAGCACAATTTGGTACTCCACATTAAAGAGTTCTCCCATGGGAAGACAACCCTAAGTCAAATTAAATGCAACTCTCTTCACATTTATGGCAACCTGCTCTACTGAAACTCTGGTGAGAGTACTTTCCTAAAGGGCTACGATGCTCTCACAGAAGAATGTCTAATTCAGTATAAACAAACCACCATAAATTACTACATTCAGTATACATTAATAATTAATAAATCAGATTCTTTACTGTTAACTCTCCTACTTTTACACTACAGAAATACTTATGCAGGCCTAAGGAAAAGAAAAAAAAAAAGGCATGTAGGATAACAGTACAATTGCAAAAAATGTCAGTATTTGTTATCCAAACAATCTTCTAAAATTGAATCTTTATTTCCTTTCCCCCTCTTGTAAGAAAGAAGCATCTATCATGATGCTCCCTGGGCAGCCGACGAGGTCTGTCAGCCAAGGCCAACAGAAAACAAAACTGGACCATCTGCCTGTTTGCAGCTGGTTCTTGCATTTGTCCATCAGAAAGCCAAACAATTAAAGTAACTAAGACAGGAAGTGTTGGACAGCATAAACGCTTCTTATCAGCTTACTCTCAACAACTGAAAGCGTAGCCCTCTCCTTAAGTTAAACATTCTCCTCTGAACCAGTGATGAAAAGACACCAAAAAACCATCCTAACAGCATTGGGGTAAATTCACTTCTGCCCTTCACCTCCTTCCTCAGTCTGATAGTGTAGTTTGCCCCACGCCATCACAATTGGAACAAAGCTACTTCATTAATATTTTTAATGCAATTTAAAAGCCAACAATTTAGTAAATACTCTTCAAGTACTAGTTGTCTACTTATAACAAAAACTCACAGAAAAGTATTAAGAGGAATTACACTTCAACATGTAAAAAACTTACCTTAAGAACTTTGGCATTCACAGATTCTTTCTCTTTGTAAAAAAATCTGACCATCTGAATAGTCAGGTACGCTGGCAAGCGACTGATTTTGGACTACAAAAAAACAAATTAGAAAAAGCTTTTACTTTTGACATTCATAGACCTTAAGCACTACAGCCTGTTATGGGAATATATTTGTACACAAACCCATGGGAATACAGCAAGGTCTCCTGTATAGAAGTGTACTCAAAGAAATAATTTTCAACTGGTGTTCAATTTCTTGGTAGTGGATATTCAGATGCTTTATAAACATAAATCACAAGCTGTTGCAGCAATAACTTTGTGTTTTGGGACAGAAAATTGACAACATTTAAAGGAATTACAGAAAGAAAGAGAAGTACGACTCACAGATTTGATATAGAGTGCATTTCTTTGCAGCGTTGGAGAGAGTTTGGTGATTTCCTCCTGAAGACGCTGTTTAAAGAAAAACAAGTAAAATATGCTCATCATACAACACAGCTTAAAGACAAGCACAGTGGAGGTAAACAAACCATAAATTAAATCTTGTCCTGCCAGTCTCTTGTGTTGCTATCAGCCATTATGAAACACAGGATTTTGAAATTCCTTGGCAGAAAGACCATGCCCATTCATTCCTTCAGCTCCAGGCTCATTCCTGAGCCCTGACAACAACTTAAGTTTCTCTCTGCAGAAAATTTTACTCTACAGGAATAGAACAACTGGATTTGGTTATGAACTGCATCTGGACTTGGTTACAAACGTATTGTGTCATGGTTGTAATAACCAAAGAAAATCTGAAGTTTCTTGTGATGAGAATATTTGCACATTTCTCAGCTCTGTTTCAAACAGACAGAGCTGCACAAAAGGAGACAGCTGGTGTCTCCTTATAAAATTCAGGGAAAGATCAGCCTGGTTCTTAGTGTTGCAACTCTTGTGCTACAGGCAATCCAGCATAAGAATTCTAGATCTCTTTTGGCCTAAATGTGAAGTTTCTTTTTTTCTAATCTTTTTAATGTGTGAGCATTAGCTATTTTCTTACTTTTTCTTCTAAATTGTAGGAAAAAAAAAAAAAAAGAAAAAGCAGATACAAAGATTATCTGAGAACCATGCAACTTGATTTTAGTCAAGTACAAACCAGATCACTGTCCTGATCTTATACAAGTACTCCTCCACCTGTTACTTCACACTCTTCATTTTTGAGAGCCCATAAAATTTCAAAATATATATATATATATATATATATATATATATAGAGCACAGACTACTTTAGGAAGTTCTACTTAAATAAAGTTTAAAGATGACGTTGTCTCATGGAAAATAACACCCCCTTAAAAATCAAATTTAAGTTTAATTGTTCCATCATCTGCATTTTTTTTATCTTAGCAACCAAAGTGCCACAGTACTTTAAAATTGACTTTAGGATTTTTTGGGAAGCAATGACTGCATTCTTAAATCACGATACAGCTCAGCCTAGAGTGAAAGCCAGCTGAACAAAGAAGTAGCAAACTTTCTTGTTCTTGGTTACCTGCATGGGGAAGACCATGGCAGGGTCAAGGAAAAGCTTTGTTGAAGTCTACTTGACATTTAACATGCAATTCATTTCCCAGCCAGCTTCCCAGTGAACACCAAAAAGATTCTTGAAACTTTGTAAAGCTTGGACAGCAGATGTCAATTCCAAGTCACAGATTAAAAGCAGAGGTCATCTAGAATTTCAATTAGATAAAAGTTGCAATGGCTTACCAATTTTAGTCCTGTAAACAGATATTTCACTTCTTGATTGATAAAACAGCTAAGCTGAAGCAGATTCTCCTTTCCTTTAGTTACTTCCTCTTCTTCGGCTTCTGTACATTTCATGCTTCACAAAATTAAGGAAAACCATCATGCAGCAAGAGCTGAACTACAGCTCTAGTGAAACCAACATGCCAAACAGCACAGTAATTTAAGGGAATTCTGTGCTTGTGCATCAATAGTACTTTTACTTCCCGTAATGTAAAAAAAGATTTGAAAGAGCCCTTCGTTCTAACCAATCTGTTCCTTTGTAGCTAATGACAAGGGGCATCTGAGGAAGACAGCACACCAAAAAAAAAGGAAAAGAAGTATTTGATCACCATTTAGGCTGAGGCCTGCTTTGCTCTTTCTTCTCTACCCCACCACCCAACCCCCATGACACAAAACATACCAACTGGCTGCCAACACCAAGTTACGAAGCCCTCTTTCAACATTACATTCTATTGCTGTTTTTAATTAATAAAATTCTTCTCTTCCTGCTGCTGGCCAGACTTCTCCTTTCTATAAACATGCACAGCCTCCTTTTCCTGCTTTGTATCTGTCCTCTTCACTGAAATAAAGTCCATTCTTTCATTGTTTTCTACACGTTCTTCTAATTGTTCTCTTTTCATATTTCTACCCCAATCCTTTTCTCTCATCCACCTCTTTCCTACTAGGTATTTTTCTGACTGCACCTATTCTACAAACATTGCCATGATCACACCTTGAAGGTTTGCAACACCCCTTTTCTAACAAGTCTCTTCCTCTTGCTACTGCTTAAGCATCATTACTCTCAGCTACACATTCTGCAACTCCAGCTATTTCAAGGATAACAAACATCATGATAAAGGGAGAGAGATGCGTGGCTCTTACCTTAAAAAAGGCCTTTATTCTTCTTTACTACCAAGCTATGAGATACAGCACCTCATCTAAGGGGATGCTTCCTTATTTCAGACAAGCCAAATGCACAGTGTAATTCTTTCTAAAGTGGTGCTCGGTTTCATGACAACTGGGATTTTGGGGCAGAGAAGTGGGAAAAGGGTAATACTTGCCATGAGATGTGTGCCCCATGTGGTCATGCACTTTCTGTTCTTGCTGTAATGAAGCTACTGGAAAGTTGTCAGCTGCATTTGTTTCTTACTCATCTAAGAGTGGACATCTAATTTATTTCTTAAGAAATCAATCACGCTGCCTTTTGTGCATGTTTACTACAAGTATATCAGCAACACACCTCTACAAGCCAAAAAAGGGCTATTTAGGACAATAACTACTTTTATTTGGATAAAACATGTCAGCATCCTCGAATTTGATGAGTGTCTAATGTTCTGTGGGAAGGAAATCTGCTATTTAAATTCAACAAGTTTTTTTCTCTAAATTTCTATTATCATTCTTCCTCCCCACAACATCCTCTCTATCAAAGCATATCCAATCTTAACTTCAGCTTCTGTGTACTCCTGCAGGACATCATTCCCCCTCTTCCACACCTTTAATTTTCTATACTATTCTGAACACTGCTTTTCATCCCTGAACTCAACTGCTAAAGATTAAGGATACGCTGTTTCAAATTCAATGCTGAAGAACTGATCAATTAAACTCTTCTTTTTAGAAGATGCTGCTGTAGCTCCAGAGTCTGTCTGTAAAACAAATTCTCTTATGATGTAACTTTAAATAGCACGTAAACACAGTCTTCTCTACAGACAAAATAACCCCATTTATTTAAATTCTTTAAAGCCTATTCTTTCTGTAAGTGCATTTTTTCCTAGTCAGTCAATCTTTTTACACAGCATAAAGGTTTCAAAATCAGTGTGCTTATAGCATGCTACTAAAACCACATCAAAGCACACCAGCAAGCAGTTTCAATCAAAAACTCACACCTCCCTCCCCCATTTAAATCTATCTTAAATTTCATGGTAGTCTATCAGATTTTTTGCCATTGGCAACAGTTTACAGAGAAAGAAGAGAGTTGGGCTGCTAAAACCTTGGGGAAAAAACTTCACGCAGTTTTTTTATCAGGTTGATCTGGTTAGCTGTCTGTTTAAAATGCTTCAAATTAAAACTGTGGCACACTTTTTTCAGAGATAAAAAGTTCTTAATGCACCGAATTCACAGGTTATCAGGGCTAGCTGCCATGCATGTGAGTATGTCACCACCAGCTCGGTCCAACACAAGCCTTACAAAGCCCAGAGTGAAGGCATCCCTTCAGTACCCTCCACAGCGTGGCTGACACAATGTAGGTAGGGTTATGCTGACCAAACACATCAGAAAGCAATTTCCCTTGCTGGACTACAGGCAGACACATCTTAAAGAATTCACTAACAGATAATACTTGGCAAAAAACCATGTGAAATAATATAAATTCTAACTGCTTAGAGTAAGACTACAATTACCTCCATAACTGTATCACTTTCTATGCCTTCCAGCTTCTGCTGTAGCACCCTCATCATCTGCACCCAGCACTCATTGGCATCCTAGGAAGAGAACACAACATTACATCTGACTAGTAGCATTATGATTCAGTAATATTAAACCCATCAACCTTTATTCTATTAAAAAAAAAATAATTGTAAGGATTCCTTAACTAAGAATTTCTCCCTAATTCCACCATGCATTTTCACAACTAGCAACTGATACTACATTCAACTTCTTCTACGCTACAAAAAGACACTTTACTGGGATAAATTATTTTCACAAGGGAAGGGAAGTTTTAAAATATTCTTGTCCCCAACTTCCACTATACTATAGAATTTTTAAACAATAAGCTAATAATCGGTCTTTACCTGTTGAAGGTACTGGCCTTGATCACCTTTCTCTGCAAACTGTGGGAAGGCCATGTGTAAAAACTGCAGGAGAATGATAGGTGGGATACTGGAGGAAGTTTTATCCATGGAATCAAACAAGTCTCTAAGAGCTTGAAGAAAAAGTAAGTGAATGCTTTGAGAAGTGCAAAAACAATTCAAACATGGCAGGAAGTGTAAAAAGAATAGTAAAGCAGCAACAACATTTAAAGACCAATCATTTAACAGTGTCCAATCTGATCTTTCCAAAGCAGGACCAAGTTTTCCAGGTGGCATAACAGGTGCACTCAAGATCTCATTTGTGAACATGACTTTGCAAGCACCAAGATGACAATTTTGAGAGTTTGGCACAAAATACCTTGTCTTTCCTGTCTGCTAACAAAAAATAAAATAAAATAAATTTTTTGAGCAATCAAGATTTCATTTGAAAAACATTTGAGGAACAAGAGGACTACACCTAGAGAAACCAGAAAACATTCACAATTCATCCTCTAGAGCAGCTTAAGTTTCACCAGCTACTGGGAAAAAAACCTTTCATTTTCCCCAACTAAAATATCTAGGAAATACTCATGCTTAAGACCCAGGAAAACAAGTATGTGTATGCATATGTGCAGACAGCTCATAACTATGTGCAATCCAACAAATGATACTGACTGCATGACAACACACATGGCTTTCTTATTTGCTCCACACCCTACCATCTATGTCTGATCTACTCAGGCTACAGCATTTTAAATCCACAGGTCACTTCAGAGACCTGTTAATCCTCACAACAACCCTGGGAGGTAGGCAACAGTCTGCATGGTCACTAATTTACAAATGGAGAGACTAATGAATGGTACTCTTGAGTAAGTGAACAAAGGCAAGATTACAAGGAACCAAGGTCAGTTGCTTCCTCTCTTTCAGAAGTACCTTCACTGACCTTGACAAAAGGTGTAACTGATATGACACAGTAATTAAAAAAAAAATGCCACAAGTGTCATGCAGGAGTTCCTGAACAGCTCAGCACCCAAGAATTTACTACAAATTACTTAAACTATTAAAAAAAAAAATAAAACAACTAAGAAGCAGAGCTGTCACCTTAAAAAGAAAACAAGGGACACGAAGTAAAGGCAGTTAAAAGGGGAGGGGCAGGCATGTCTGTATAGAGTAACCATTGAACTTACCACCCCAAAATTCGATCAGCAGGCATACCCACAAACTGGACCTTTCCTTCCTTATATTGTTTTGTTTTTCCTTAAATGGACTGGTAGAAATCCCAGTGTCCTGGCCCAGCATCTTAGTGGGGCAATGAAATAGAGTAAAAAAAGAAAAAGCGGACAAGTAGTACCCTTGTTCAAGTGTAAGGGGTCTAACTAGAATTCTAGTTAGAGTTTGAAGATACGGGGCCACCGTGAGCTCCCACGCTGTGAGCACCCAGATCACCACAACAAAGAATAACTCTCATTTTGAAGACACTACTTTCCATTTCAGTTATGAAATCTGGATCTTTAGGGTAAAGGCTAAGACCACTGATGAAGCACCAGCTACTACCCTAACAAAAAATGCTCAGCCAATAAATCATGCTAAAAACTACCAATGAAATACATGTTCCAGGAGTATGGCATTAGCCTACCATTAAGTGGAACAAAGAACTGCACACTAAAATATTTCTATGCAAAGTGATCAAAATCAACCAATGAATGGATGAAGTGTGCTTTAGGAAGTTCCAGTTACTCTATGACTACATGTGAAACATTGTTAAAAGATACAAATTATTCCTATCTAAGCCTAGACCACCCTTGAATATCTTTTCCCCAGCGTGCAGCTGGGTAATATGCAGAGATACACGCTTTGCAGGCAGGGGCAGAATAACCCTTAAAGACAAAATGAATCCTCCAGTGCTAGCAGATCTATAATTCCTAAGGCATATGTACTAAAGAACAATACACAGGGTTCTCACTGCAAATTTCATCTGCAGTTAGCAGGAAATCACACACTAGTTTAAAACCCTGTTCTCCACTCTGAACACTAACCTGCAGTAATGTATTGAGCAGAGGCCATTTCTCCTGAAGCTCTTAAGGCACCACCATACCTAAAAGAGAAGAAAAACAATTTGTATGCAATTAAACACAACTTAGGAGAGCAGCTGGACTTTTTAGATCATGAAGCAGGCAGTTGCTAGATTTATTTAAATATATCAAAAGAAATCAATAACCAAACCAGAAGTAACTGAAGGTAAGATTTACTCACATTCACCTCGAAGTCTCAGCTATTTTGCAAGCACTGCATGGAAGCAAAGGAAAACTGGTATCCTTCAGACTATAAATAAAGGCAGACCAAGAAGTCTGGATACATCACTGCTACTTCCATAATGCACTTGCCTCAAAGACTTGATTCCTCAGTTTCTTAAAAAAGTCTGAATAAAAGCTACCCTATTTGTGAAACATTTTCCACAGCTCCTGCAGATGGAAAAAAGCCACTTTTGAGGATAAATGGTAGATACAACGCACAGAGATGGAAGGCAGACTTGCTTCCTCCCTGCACAGCAGAAGCAAAACACCGAGAGGTGCGATGTTTTCTTGGGGAGATATTTCCTACAATGAAAAGGTATGGGAGTCCACCCACATTACTAGAACTTAGCACTCTTCTTTGAATGAATTCTTAATTCAGCAGTTGGATGAGGAGCAGATGGACTCCTCAAAGCATGTAAGATGTTAAGCAAAAGGAGGGTCTCACACATTCTCCAATCTCAGGGTGCACTTTTACAATTCTGACAATTCATCATTGCCAGATAATAAGCAGGAAACTTTCCCCTGACATGCTACAAAATAGGGAGACCATTGGAGCAGGTGGGGAGAAACAAAGCTGTAACATTAAGCTTCCCCATGTGAGCCCTTTCACCCCTCTCCTACTGCCATATACCCTACAGCCTTCCATGCTGTCGTCAAGCAGAGAAGACCAAATAAAGGCTAAATCTCCAGGGAAAAACAGAGCTTGAATCTGAGTGTGAACCTGACTTCCCATAGAAAATACAGCCACATCTTGTACTGCACTCTGCCAGTTTCACAGGCTACATTTTGCCATTTGGAATGTTAAATCTGTCAAATATTCTGATTCAGCGCAGTAACTCAAGCGTCCTTCACATGGAAATAAACAGACTTTTCCTAAAATGGCAACACTGATAAACAATAAAAACCTTTAAAACCAAGTTTCTATACTTCACAAATAGTCCTCAGTGCTAAATAATTAGGGTTCACCTGCTAACAGAATGAAGAAAAATTTATAACTACTTAAATAATCAGTGTTTACAGTAATCTGGAATATCCAGCTGGGTACCATGAAGCCAAGAAAGCAGTGTGTTTTAAAGGAATTAAGTTAACCCTAAGATGGTAATGCTCTACCTAATTCTCGCTTTTCTAAAATACTGATTGTTTTCTCATTACAATTCATCATGAGGACAAATTCAGGCTCACATTGCCAGGTATTCTTGTTTCCTCTGATATTCATAATTTTCAAGTTTCTTGGAGGCCCTTGACAAGAAAAAAAAACAAAACCTACACTGGACATTTTCACATTTCAGTCCAGAATAACAACAAAAAAACCCAAACAAAAATCAGAAAAGTTCTCCTACAATCAGAACAAATTAGAAAATGAAACAAAATTCCATAAAGGTATGTCTTCTGTTTCCTAGACATCCACATGACTCTGGCATATTCCAGTTTGCTACCATAACACCCACGGTCCTCTCTCAGATCCTCCTGCTTGTACCTCCAAGTAGCAAATGCCAGTAACATCAGAATTTCACACCTGAAAACACATTGTACAGTAAAGCCACTGAAGGAAATATTCCTCAAAGGAACTGGACTCCCATATGATTCTTCTATACAGAACAAGACCATAAAAAACTAACAAAAAAACAGGGTTAGGAGTTCAGTAGCTTGTTTTAGCATTTTAAACAAGTCTTGATAGGAAGCACTTTCTAGCTAGGCAAAACATGTTCTCTCTACTAAAAGCCAGTCTCAAGAAATACACCATCTTAAAGTTCTTTATTAAAGTATAGATTAACACAGGCACAGGATAAACTTTCAATCATTACGTTAACCTTGAATAGTTTTAAAGAGTAACAGATTGTTATGATAATCCATACCAGTATTAAGATAGCAGTTCCACAAAATATCTTGTTTCATAAGCTAAACAAAACATTTTAGTCATGGTATTTTCGTCCTGAATCCTACCTTTTAAGGGCCTCTTTCACTTCTGGCACTGAGCGGATACACTGAACCGTAGCATTCATGTAGCAAGTGTTGCCAAGGTTCGTCAATCCACATGGCAATTCCATCTACCAAAAAATTCACAAGGGTGCTTAAAGGTCAGAGAGATGTGCAACCACTTTTTATAATTTGCCGTAATTTTACATCAACTTCTAAGACGAGGAGCTACCAGAGATACTTAAAACATGGAATATTCTATCCAACTTTATGAAGTTTTCCACATGCACTTTATGATTATATTAATCGTTTCACCATTCGCTGTTTTTAGGGGACATTCAGGAATGCTTTGGTTTTCTTTCCTGTGCATGTTTAGTTTAATGAACATATTCTTCAAGCAGGCAGTCATTCAGAAAGTTCAACTATAATCTCATTCAAGTTTTGACCTTAAAATTCTATTTCCAGGAAAGTTCCACATGAATACATTTGCACAAAACACTGATGTTTTAATTAAAATCAGTTTTCAGTAAAACTCTGAAAGTGATGGAGTTTGTAGTCTGAAACAAAAGCATTATTTAAACTCCTCTTCAGAAGTCTACAAGAGATCATTAATCTGATCTTTTCAGACAACTTGTGAATTTGACAAATGTGAAGGCCAACTAATAATTAAACTAACCAGTTTCAGAAACAACTATAAATTACCATATAATAGCATTTTTCTTTCTTTTTCTTTTTTTTTTAATCCTGAATGCTTAGGTAGTTGTCAGGGAAAAATCACAGAGTTTAATGAAACTGAGGTAGTACTGGATACCAATACCAATTAAATACCTGAGGAAGAGAGAATTCATTTAGCTGTGTATTCCATTATTGAATACGTGCAGTACAGACAATTGAATTCTGATGTATTGCAAAATTTCAATCAGAGAAATGCAATACGACCAACTTTTTCAAAATGTTATCTGACACTGAATGATCTCTTTGCTTGCCTCTCAGTTATCTCAAAGTCTGTGTTCGGGGTTAATCTCAAAAATACATAAATATCCTTCACCTGCAGGTGGCCTGGAAAGCACTAAATCCTGAAGCACAAACACAATCCTAAACTACAGGTGCTTTTTCATACAGACATGCATAAAAGTATTCCCATTCTGCAGGCACAGTTGACAACAGTCATGCAACTGTTAAGTGTGACAAAGAGCTCCCAGTTCAAATGACTGATGGGAAAATGAAGTCTTTCAAAGGGTAAAAATGAAAAAAACCTCAGAAGTTGCTTCATTAAAAAATATTAGATTAATTATGCTCTTTCAGACTTAACTCCAATAAAGCAAGACATAAAATCTGTTCTTCTAATGTCAAACTTAATTCCATTTTTCACAAAGAAAAGTTGACTTAATACTACTAACACAGACACACAAAACCCCAAACACACCCTACCCCAGACAAACCCTGGTTTACCTCCATAGGTATGAAAGAGGCAGGAAACAATTTTGCACTTCTAAGAGCCCTTGTTCAGACAAAGTTCAGGCCACTAATACAGCAAGGGCAACACAACTTTGTCTTTAAAAACATTAGTAATGCTATTTTTAGAAAATCTACCAAGTTGCCTGCTCAAAGAAAAAACAGCACTAATTATATGACTTTTAAAATAAATCCCAGACTTCTCGTCACTGCTTCAAGCTGGGTCATCAATTTAAATTTGCGTTTCTTGGAGAAGATGTTAAACACATCACATAGTTTTAAAATCCAGTTTTAAGCAACTGCAGGTATTTAAAAACTTGCCATTACTCTGAGGTTTACAAGAAATCAAAGTCTGAAATATGCTTACAGCTGAAGCCAACTGCTCCTCTGTCATGTCTTCTACAAAGACGGGTCGAGCAATCGGCTCTTCTGGAAGTGCGTCTGCGGAACCCATCATTAGTAAGGTCATCCCCTTGAAACACAGTAAAAACAGCAATAAATATTTAAGGACAGTTATTTCCAGTTAAAATAAAATCATTAAGCTCTTAATGTATTTCAGCTATTTGCCCGAGAATAAACACAGCCTTTCTCTTAGTTTACAGACTCAATACTGCACTATTGTGATTTAAGGGTATACCTTTACTTCCTCTTATCAAGAAAGTACTTATTGAGGACACTTCCACATCATTATCCATGCTAGATGTTTCCACTGAAACATCTAGTGAGCTTGCCAACAGCTGACAACACGGGATGCCAGCTGGGACTAAACTTAACATTCATGGAACATCCCAACATGTCAGAGAAGGTCCCTTCCTGATGGACCACCTTCAACACCTGAGTGCTGACATTCCTCTTTCCTTTAAGCCTTACAAACTGCCAAGGGTAATCGAGCAATTAAATTCTGATTTGAAAGAAGCTGCACCACTTGAGCTTCAATCAACAGTCTCCAGTTCTCAAACTCAGAATTCTCTAAACAACAACAAAACGTCCCTCATCCTTAACTTGGAATCTGAGGAGACATTTTAGACAGATGTGGGTAATAATGAGGACCACAGTTTTGAGCTCAGATACTTTTATTTCATCTGAAAAGCAAGCAGGAAAGGGAGGTGCCATTTGTGGCCTGGCAAGTTCCAAGGTCATTAAACTAATTGAAAAGTAAAAAATAACCTAAATTACCCCATCAGTTTAGGCATGAGAACCAACATTTAAGGGGGGGGGAAAAACAGCAATCAAGTTACCATGCTTGCTGAACTAGCACAAGGAAAAGGAGTCTTTTAGCATTCAACAGGAGTACATCTACACAATAAGATCTATCAAAGGAGGAGAAATTACTACCTGGGGCCTTGAAAAAATACAGTGCTAAGGAAGAGAATGAACAGAATGAAAAGAAACCGCTTTGACAGTGCAAATAAATCCCTAGAACTTGTATATAATATTATTAAAATGAATAAAGGCAGCTATTAGCAGAACAGTATGCAGAAAAGGACAAGAATATTACTGGGGTTTTTTTGGTGAATGACTTTGCTATAACAGCTGCATCTACAGGCTGCTAACTAGTTACTGATGACTGCAAACTAGTTACAAGGGTAAGAGTAATGCTACCTAAGTCAATCTGCTCAGTGAAGAACTGGAGTAAAACCTGTAACAGATGTTCCAAGATGTTACGAGATATGTACAGAAATTAAAACGACCCAAAAAAAAACCACCCAAAATTTGTGGGATTCCCTGGTGCAATATTATACAGGTAAGCAGCAGAAACACGTTCACTTTTTGTTTTCTTTTTGAACTAGCCGAAGGTATGAATTAAGATTCCTAAGGGCTTTGTTTATAAACAGCAGCTATTTGGTACAGGGGAACAAATTTCAGGACGTAGAAAGTGCTGTAGCTTCAGCATTCCCAACAGAGGTTGTCCACACTGGGGACGAATGAGCACAACGGCCCACAGACAGTGCCCAGGTTCACAAGCTCTCTCCACATAACACCGCTTATTTTTATGGTCACAGGGTAGACCACACAGAAGGAGCACTGCTCAGACCCAGAGCATTTCTTGTAAGAAAGAAAGAAAGAAATACATGCTCCCAGGTGCTTCAAAAGAGATGGTGCCATTTCCCTACTGATGCCAAATAAAGTTTATTTTACAAATCAATGGTGAGGCTTTTGTAAGCATCCTTATGTATGACACTTGTAAAATTATTTTACATCAAGATGAGATTTTTAAGAAAGCACTACCCATTCAAAGAGAAACAGCAAGCACTTCTAAGTCTTTCTTTAAATGCCAAAATAAAAATCAAACTAGTAAAATTTAGTTACTACTGAGAACTTACATTCTTTATTTTTAGGTTACCCCAGTCATCATCCTGTGAAACAAAATAAAAGACAAGTTAATTATCTTGCAGCAAAAGACAAGCAAGTATTTTCATTAATATTAATCATGTATTTCTAAATATACAACTGTGTTTCAGCCAAGATTACACAACATTAACCCTTTACACATCAAGTTTTGTCTGACTGAAATAAAAAGCAGCAAAGTCATCCTTTCAATAAGGTTCTTCATCTCTTATTCAACACAGCTTACATGTAAACAGCTTTTTGAAGCAAAGCTGACTTTATCTAATTATGCCAGAAAGTCTCCAGCAAAGAAGGGCTAGAGAAACTTTTGTTAAACAAGCTAAAAAGAAAAAAGTTGCATTTAGATTCCCAACATGAAACAGTAACAGGAAAAGAAAGCCACTAAGCAGAGCAGTGTTTGGTATAAGAGTGACAAGCGTCTTAAAACAACAGTGTATCTCAAAACTATTTAGCAACAAACTTCTGCCAGTATTTTCTAGCAGTAGGCAACAAATTATGCACAATTATTTCTGAAAAGTGGAGTCAGTTTAAAATGTACAATGGAAGACCTTCTGGAGGAACACATGGAAATATAGTCATTGCTCATGTTATCTCATAATAAAGTTAGAAATAATATAAAAACGCGGATTGCTACCTTCAGAGTTCCTCCTTTAACCATAACCTTCTGTCTAGCTGGCTGAACTCCAGTCAGTGCAAAAAGCTGGGCTTTGAAGACCATTGGAGGTTCATCAGTGTTCAGCTCCACGCCATCGAATTTCTCTTTTCCCCATTTCACATTAACTGCAAACAAAATGTTTTGAAACTGGATTATTTCCTAATATACAGGAATGTAACTACCAGGATAACCAAGACTTTATACTGTCTCAAAACATTCAGATTTCAACTCTTAAAACCTGTTAATAATCAAGCTAAGGGACAACTTTTAATATGGCAACTCAGGCATCAGAACATACTGCTTTCCAACAAGTCTAAAAATATCCTACAAAACCATTGTAAGTAACATATATACTGAGAAACTTTGCAAGAAATATGTGTGTAACAGCATCAGAAATCCTTTAGGCAGGTCTTCACAAAAGCAGTTTGGAACCAGCTCTCCCATTCCCTTGGTACTGTTCATTGCAAACAAACGAACTTTCTGAAGGAAAGTTCAGGGGTGCAATTCCAGTTGTCTTCCATAGCATTTCCGTTCTCCTTCAGCGGAAAACAATACAACGTTCTTTAAAAGCAAGGCTACTGATCCCAGCAAAGGTGCAGGATGGGAATTAAGAAGTGAAGTGAAATTTGGTCACAGAAAGCGCAGTTCTTGATGCTGGAAAGGGGATCACAAGCAGAAACATCAGGCAGAGTGGCACAATGGAATGTTAGCTTTACTCTGGGGAAATTAGCACCGACCCAGAGCAGACAAAAAAGAGCCTGGAATAAGCTGTATGTTTCTAATTAACATCTATGACCACTTCCTATCACTATCACAGGCACACAAGTCTTCTTTAGCAAGTTGAAGTTTTGCTGAAAATCTGTAAAATACAGCAGACAGTAATACTCTACATGCACAGTAAATGGCTGAAATATCAGAGTTTAGGAAAGCCACATTCTTCTACCTGCATTTCAGTTTTACACAAATATATTAGAGCAACGCTGCCTTTTTTTTAAAAAAACCCACAAAACTCTTAGAAGTCATAATTTAAAAAAAACTTCCAAAAAGGTTCAGATTTCAGATGCACACAGTATTTGTGATGGGTAAATATGATAGAATAATCACAAGTAAGTCTAAACTAGTTAGACTAAATTAGTCTACAAGGCAACTCAAATGACTGATTTTTCAGTATTTCTAGCAGAAAGCACCTTTTGATTTGCCCAGCGTTCTGGGTTTTTTGAAACACATTTATTATTTTGCATATTTAAGACCTACCAAGCACACAGCTTTCCCCATTTTCCAGGAAGACAACCCACTCAGTCACTGAACAAGTCAGCTGCACAGACTTTTGGGCTTTGAATTTTTGAACAGTCATGCACCCACCGCTAAATATGCAGAAGAGTTAGCAATTATTAATCTGTAGTGTCACTGGTTTTGACAACTCAGCACTCAAGAGGAGGAACTGAAGAGCGTGTCTTCTCTTGAGAGAACACAACCAAGACTTCATCCAAAACAAAAGAGAAACTTGTTAAATTGAAAATAACGGAAAGTAAGAAAAAGGAAGGACGTGTTTTCCCTGCTGATCAGAAAACACAGCTCATACAGATCACAGAATGGGTCAGGTTGGGAGGCACCACAGTGGGTCATCCAGTCCAATCTCCCTACCTAAGCAGGGTCGTCCTAGAGCACATGGTACAGGGTTATACCCAGACAGTTCCTGAATATCTCCAGCGAGGAAGACTCCACAAAATGTGGATGAGTTCAGGATAAATTCTGTTATGCTGACATAAGCATGACAGTTTGACAACCGCAATTAAGATAGTGGAGAAACTGTGTACTGAAGCCACCTACAACCTAAAAAACTAAAAAGCCCCAATAGGCCAGACCTGACAGATATAAGCAAGGAAGTGTAACTGGAGGTTTTGCTCTTGCAGTCTTTCATAGAAACTTTGCCTCATGGCAAGGAGGGCAAGCGGAACGCGGTACAACTTAAGTAAGCTGTAACTTAAGGTTTAGCTTGGACACTGGGAAGAATTTCTCCATAGAAGGGGCGATTATCCACTGGAATGCACTGCCCAGGGAGGTGGTGGAGGCACCATCCCCGGAGGTGTTTAAGGAAAGACTGGATGTGGCACTTAGCACCAGTCTAGTTGACAAGGTGGTGATCCATCATAGGTTGGACTCGATGATCTCAGAGGTCTTTTCCAACCTAATTTAGTTTGTGATTCCTCCAGTTTCACCTAGGATATAATGGATTTAAAAGAGCAGAGGCAGACGCACTTAAATAAATTCGGGGGCACGGATGCAGAACTACGGCTCACCTGACGGGCAGCACCACTTCTCCTTTAGCAGAAAACCCAAACAAGCCGAGGCAGGGCAGTGCCGAGACCCGCGGGACGTGTGAGACACCCGCCCTGCCTCCCTCCCTCCCTCCCTCCTTCCCGGCCATCCACAGGGCCAGGCCAGCACTCTCTCCCTCCCTCCCTCCCGCCCTGCTTCCCGGCCGGGCCGCGCCTCCCGGGGCGCTCCCGCCGCCGGCCCGTGTGCCGGGATCGCTCACGTGTGCGGCGCCTCCCGCTCCCGCTGCCCCCGGGCGGAACCGCCTGCTCCCGCTCCCGCCCTGCCCCGCTCCCGCCCTGCTCCCGCTGCCGCTCCCGCTCGGGAAGGGCCCGCCGGCAGCGCGCGGGCTGGCGGGGCCGCGCTCACCTGAGAAGAGCGGCATGGCGGAGCGGCGCGTCCCGGGCGGGCGGCAGGGAAGGGGAGGCGCGGCGGGGAGCGGCGCTGTCGGGGCGGTGCGGGCGGTGCGGGCGGTGTGGGCGGCGGGTCCCAGCCCCGCTCGGGGTCTCATTCAAACCGGCCCCCGGGATGACGCTGCAAGCGCGGCCCTCGGCGGAAGCGGGGCGGGGCCGGTGCGCGCGCACCGCCGGAACGGGCGGGGCCGCGGGCGGCGGCGGGAGCGCGCCCGGGGCGGGAGCGACGGTGGAGAGCGGGATCCTGCAGGACCGGTCCTGGTCCTGGTCCTGGTCCTGTTAAACCCGCGAGCCGTGGGCAGAGCCACCGCTGCTGGGCCCGGGGTCGGGAACGGGCCCCGGTGTTGGCGCCGCGGACGGGGAACTGGATGTGGGGAGCGCAAGGGCTGGAGGGAGAGCGTGTGGAGTTCCCTGCGAGAGAGACGTGGAGCTCCTGGAGCGGGTCCAGAGGAGGGCAACGGAGATGATCAGGGGACTGGAGTACCTCACTCACGAGGAAAGGCTGAGAGATTCGGGCCTGTTCGGCTTCAGGAAGAGACGACTGAGAGGGGACCTCATCAAAGTATAAGAGTATCTGAAGGGAGGGTGCCAAGAGGATGGAGCCAGGCTCTTCTCGGTGGTGCCAAGCAAAAGGACAAGAGGCAGCGGGCAGAAACTGATGTACAGGAAGTTCCACCTGAACACAAAGAATAACTTCTTTACTGTGCGGGTGACCAGGCACCGGAACAGATTGCCCAGAGGGGCTGTGGAGTCTCCTTTACTGGAGATATTCCAGAACTGTCTGGACACAATCCTGTGCCGTGTGCTCTGGGATGACCCAGCTTGAGCAGGGAGGTTGGGCCAGATGACCCGCTGTGGTCCTTTCCAACTCAGTGATTCTGCGTGACTCTGTGAGAACTGACGTGGGCTTATGGACCCCCCTGGGGGGTCTGCCCAAATCTGCTGTGGTTGCACAAGGCAGGGCGAGGGAGGCAGGAAAAATAAAAAGGCTGTTGTGGATGAAATACTTTTGGTTTATAGGAAAGGGTGGAGTAAGAGATAAAACTGTAAACAGAAGAACTTTACTGGAGGTAAAGGGGATGACTAATCTACCAGCAATGATTTTAAGACTTGGTGATAGATAAGGAGCGCTGAAACATGAGTGTGATGGCAATGGCCAGGAGCCTTCAGGACAAAAGCCCCCAAGTTTCAAAGATACTGAAACCAGTAGATATGGAGACACGAGTCTCGACTGCTTCTACAAAAGCTTTCAGTATTAGTCTGTGGTTAAAGGAACCAAAGCAGTGCTTAAACATACAAAAAGGGAGACCATGGCAGAAAGAAACATCCCTTCCTCGGGCCCTTCCTACATACCACCTCTTGGAACCTGACAGTCCTCTGCTGCTTACACCTGCAGCTCTTAAGAGCTTCTGACACAGCTTATACCACCGTCTGGTTGTCTGCATGTGCACTTCTGGTCCTGCTTTTGCCACAGAAGTGATATCCAAAAAAAAGAAGGATTTTTCCTTGATAAACGTGCTGTTCACCAAATGCGATTTTCAATTCCAAAGAGTAGAATGATATACAAAAAGGCCATAAAAATAATCCAAGGTTTGAAAGTAAGCCTTAAAATGGAAGGCTTAGAAATTTCGGTCTTGGCTTAAAATTTCAGTCTTTTCAGTTCGTCATGGAGAAGAGTGGAAGTTGATTTTATCCAGTGTAGGCTCCCAGTGTAGGCTCCAATGTAAGCATTACATTTCACAGAGAAGCTCTAATGGGTATTATGCTGAAATGAAGCTAGATCTTGAATTAAGGTAGAGTTTCCAATTACTGAGGCAATTTAATTATTGTTAAAGTTGACCAGCAAGAGTGATGAATCTTCTGTTACCTTGACTTGCTGAAAGGAGCTTTTTAGAAAAGCTTTAATCCCGTTCTAGGGTGAGGTCCTGCAGACCATCTATTCAGGTGAGAGCAGACCCCAGCTGCCTGCCTGTGAGTCTGGGATATCTCCAGTCTAGCCTCTTAGCACCAACAGTGACCTCCATAGAGGCCGTTTATTTGGGACTGCTAAATGGTAGTGGAATTCTCTGTTGTCTGAAGCGTCACTGAACACATTCTCCCCTTTGGAGTAACCAATCCTTAGTGGATCAAGGCCCAGGCAGTCACAGACCATGTGTTTCCAGGGTTTGAGAAAGGCACTAGGTGGTGCTGTGCTGAAAGAGAAGCAGAGGGGGTTTGTATCTACAGGAAAAATCATCCCAGCCTCTGCAAGGTGAAGAACCACACTACCTCTTTTTTTTTTTTCCTCCGAGACCCGTGTAGATCTCTTCCTGCAGTAACAGCTGCGTGCCTTTTTCCTTAAGGAGGGGATCAATATGTGCTGGTTTCCCTGAATCTTACACAAACTGTCATAGGGAGTGTAGAGAAAAAGAATGCAACCTGATCTATTCATATGAAGTACAGATTACCTTGATGACATTAAAATGGAAAAGATTGGTTGAATATTATTAAATAATTTTTTTTTTCTTAGTAAAGTCAAGCCCTGAGGAAACCTTGGTCGGCAGCAACCGCCTGCCCTGGCTGTGTCTCTCTGGTGTGTTGTAGGCCCATCCAAGCATGGCTCCTTCCCATCCTGAGCTGGACGGATGCAAGCCAGCTTGGCAAGAGGGCAAAATGTGTTATCTGATATATTGTCAGGTGCATTTATTAAAGAACATTTTGTTTTCTGTGGGGGACGTAATGTTCATGGGAACCTGTCTGTGTATCATAGAATGGTTTGATGTGGAAGGGACCATGGGCAGGGATGTCATCCACTAAATCAGGTTGCCCAGGGCCCCATCCAACCTGGACTCCAACACTTACAGGGATGAGGCTTCCGCAGCTTCAATGTATCTTCTATGTATCTTCAGGCTTGAAACGTTTTAATGAGTGTGTATTCGCAGCACAGGTAGGATCCAATCACATTATTAACTGCTGTCTTCCAGGTAATTTCCATGTAAATTAAAATCAAAAAAATCCTAGTTTTAAGTGGTTTAGGTCCAGTATTCCGGTGTCCTGATATGCTACAGTGCTTTACGCATTTAAAAGTAGTTCTTCTTCGTGACAAATGTAAGCATTCCAGTTCTCTGCACTGCAAACCTTGACTTGTCTCCAAATGAGTGCCCAGAGAAAGAAGAACAGAAACCAGATGCTTGAACGCAACTCTGGTGCCCACAGTCTTCCCAGCACCGCCCAGGGCTGGGCAAGGCCTGAACAGAGACCACTGTGGCTGCCCATGCAGGAGGGATCCAGGATATGGCACAGCCCAGGGATGCCACTGTTACGCTTGATCCCTATATCACTGATGCTACAAACTAAAACAGAGCATCAATAAGGTAATAACAGATGATACAGAAAATGTAATGGCAGTGTAGAGAAAGCATAGCAACCCTGGAGGTGTTTAAAGCAATCAGTGATTTGCAAACTTTTTCCATTTTGGGGGCACACGTGGGGGAAGGAACAAGAGCAAAACTATTTGCATTTTTTATGTTTGTAACTAGTACATTAAAAAAAAAAAAAGATCCTAGTAGTGTTCACCAGCTCAGAGGAAAGCTCTCCACCTGCTGCCCCACCTCTCGCTTAACAATTCCCACCTTTCTTCTGGCTACAGCGTCAGTGACTACTGTAGCTAAAACCCACCTACGGGCGAGGCCTGATCTTTTTATTACCATGCTGTTTTGCTAGTTAGCTACACTTACCATTGCTATTGCCTTTAGGAGGAATATGGAGGCTTGAAGAGGGAATGAAAAAGAGCAGATTTCGGCATTTACCGATGGTAAAGAACTTTCAACCTAATACAGTAGTAAAAGAAATATGAAAAAAAAAGGTGGAGGCAGATTTGTCAAGGAGCATATCAAGTGTAGCAGTGGCTTTCAGGTTGGGCATCCCTGGGCTGTGCCATATCCTGGATCCCTCCTGCATGGGCAGCCACAGTGGTCTCTGTTCAGGCCTTGCCCAGCCCTGGGCGGTGCTGGGAAGACTGTGGGCACCAGAGTTGTGTTCGTCACCGCTGTGAAGGAAGCCAGGCTAATTTATGCCAGCTCCTCCCAGCTTACCTGTTCATGTTCTCTTGATGACTTCCTGGTGTTGTATTAGATGAGTGTAAGCAAAATGTCCCTGTAAGAGGAATCATTAGTGATGAGAGTAAAATCAAAATAATGTGGCAAGAGCCGGATTAAGTGGAGCTGTAGTGACCGTGGCAGCACGGATTGCTTTTTTCTGGATGGTAAAGCTGATGCTTACTGAAAGTTTCGTAACAGATATTTTTTCCCCTGAAATATCTGTTTGCACAGTTGAGATTGTAAGCATTATGTTTCCTAGCAGTAGAAACCTTTGGCTGAATTTCTTATTCAAAGTATAGCTATTCCTGTAGACAGGCACCTTGCTTACAGTAAACAAGTGCCAACATCAGTGTACCCGAAGACACAAACTGTAATTTGCACGTCTAGACTTTATTATTACAGCATTTTAGTTGCAATTTATCCCAGACACAGTACTCAATGTAATTTTACACTTCATTATGTCTGCTGCTGCTTTCCCAAGCAAAATCAGCATTTAAAAAGAACTAACTGCAGAACTCCAGCATTACTAAAAAAACTATGAAAGTGACAGTAGGTGCCAATCTGTAGAGCAAAATCATTTTTCCACAATCCTACCCTCTTCCCACTAGCCATTATCTATTCATAATGGAGTTTATGCCATTTTTCAGATTACTGAAATATGAAATTACGAGACTTTGCTTTTTTTATTAATAAAATTACTCAGTTGTTGACCTTGTAGAGGTAGCCAGTTACACCTAAAGGAAAGCAGAAAAGCAATCCACAATCTAATCCGGGTCTGGAGAGACCATAGGCCTTTTGTACTGCTCCAAATTTCCTATATAATGTATGTTTTTAAGTAAGATATGTTTAATCATTGTACTTTATTATTTCCCCTCTCAGTATGTGACAGTAGATTAAAGCAGGTCATAATTATTCCTTATATTGCTTGACAAGCTCACAGTGTGATTGGTGACATGGAAGGTTGTCTTTAGTGTGCTCCAGTCACAGCTTTGAAATTGCTGACACTTCTGATACAGCAAGCTCAACATAGAGGAACTTCCTGAAATTACCACA